AAGACCCGGTGTTTCTCTTCTTTTATATATTGTTCTATTTTAAAATCATTTTGTTATAATACTGTTTTTGCTATGAACTTCTCATTCTAGAAGCCAGTTCTTACACACTATACCTATTGCATTGACCTAATTTAGTTAGATATTTAATTTAGGCCCGCATTATGAAAAAACGCACCCCCCCCCCCCCCCCCCCCCTCTCCCCATTTGTAAAGCAGCCTACGGGCCTGTGTTTCACGATTCTGAAAACTACTTCTCTACACAAAGATTCTCACTCTTACTCATTAGAGGACTTGGACCTTCTTCAGGTGAATCACATGAGTGTGATTGAGCCATTCCAACACCTTCTTTAGGAGGTCCAGTAGTATCCTTTCTACGCTCATAGCTTACAAAAACATCTACTTGGTGGTTGATCCCCAAAAAATATCGAAGAAATTTCTTCCGAAATTCTTTCGTGCGAAGCCCGTAAATAATAGGACATAGTATCGAATTAAGATGCAAAGAAACGTCGACCCATGGATGAAAAAGAAAGTACAGCGGAGTTCTTATCTCATTGCCATGCGCAAARAAMAATRTATASAGAWAATCARCAATAATAGGAATATTGACCAACAAAAACGCCCCAAAAATGTAAGCAGCTGTTATTGTAGTTTTTCGCTCTTTAAGATATTTAACCTCTTCCTGTTGGCTGTTTACACTGTTGTGCTGCTTAGCTATGTCCAGTCTATGTCTTCTAAGTACTAAGATTATTCTAATATTACAATAAATGAACAAAATACAGCATGAAAACACAAATATAAACATGATAAAATGTAGGTAAAGCTGAATAGGTTGAATTGCATAATATAGTGAGACAGATAAAATGCTGACTGCCCAGTACCCTGCCGATATTTGAAAAAATATACGCGAGCTGATTCTCATGCTATAATTAAATGAGTCAGTTATGGCAACACTTCGCTCATAGGAGAGGCATGTGAGCTGAAATAATGTCAYGAGCCACAAAATTGTAGAACTCGAATAAAAGGCGAGATCAAGGGTGCAATTAACTTCATTGTTAACTAGATGGGATAGCTCTTTAGCAACCAATAGAGGCTGCGCAATTAAACCACTCAAAAAATCCGTCAATGAGAGAAGGCCCACGACAATAAAACGTTCCTTTTGAAGAGAGTCAAATTTGATAATGAGAATGATGGTCGCTCCGTTCAGGAATACAGCAAAAGGGATGATGATCAGCTGGATAACGACTGCGATTATGCTTGAAATGGTTGTTGCTYTGCTGTTGAARGATTCATGCCAGGTAACTGGATCTAACAACGGACACTGGGGAGCCGTGCCGTTTGCCATCTTTGATTAGAAGAAATAAAGTTTTAAAATATTGAAGGGCAAATTTAATATTAGTATTAAGAAGGAATAATGTGACAAGATCTTCCCATAAGGGCGGAGTGATCAGTATTCATTCACAAGTTCAATTTGCATGTTGAAATGCTGAATTGAACTGCGGTGAATAAATGTGTAAGGACATGTGATCGACGCGGTGAAATTGTAATAATTATACACCTATCTCATCTACTTGCAGAAACGCTCTCATAGAAAATAGAACATTTTGAATTTAGTAGCTATATGGATAACCCACTAAGCCTGCTTTGGCATAGAGCGAACGAAGATGCACCTGTAGGCAAAATAACTGCCGAACACGAACAAGCAATTGAACGGATAATTTAGGCTTTCGAAATTGAACAGATA